ATGTGAACAAAATGTTCATATCATAGCATGATTTAAAACAACAAAAAGTAAGTAATAATTAAGTGCTTAGCAATGGAGGTTAGAAAATGATATCTTTAAATACAGTCATTAAAAATCATGACCTTCAGTATTAAGGATATAGGGAAACAATGATATATTGAGTCTTACAAAACTGTAAATAGAGTATGAGTCCATTTCAAAAGTTTGTTAGGATCTATTCTAAAACATTAAAAGTGGTTAAGCTCTCAGTGATGGCATCACGGGTGACTATTTCAGTCTTAAAACTTCTCTTCCTTACTACATAGTTGTCTTAGTTATCTAGCGCTGCTATAACAGAAATGCCACAAGTGGATGGCTTTAACAACCAGAAATTTATTTTCTCACAATTAAGGAGGCTAGAAGTCTGAATTCAGGTTGCAGCTCTAAGGGAAGGCTTTCTCTCTCTGCTGGCTGTGGAGGAAGTCCTTGTCTCCTCTGAGCTACTGCTCCTGGGCAATCTTTATGTGCCTTGGCATCTCTCTGCCCCCATCTCTACTTCTCTTACTTGCTTGTTCAATCTCTTTTATATCTCAAAATGATTGACTCAAGACACACCCTATACTAATCCTGTTCTCATTAACATAACAAAGACAACCCATTCCCAAATGGGATTATAACACAGGCATAGAGATTAGGATTTACAACACATAGTTGGGCGGACAATAGTCTATATTGAATATGGCTTGTTTTTATCATTTGGAAAATGAACAATTAGTGTCTTATTTTGCATGATGTGAATATCAATTGGTTATTCTTGCACTGAAAATTTTAATAAAGCTTTGTCTCAAAAAGTAGCTTAGTCATTTGATTCTGAAATATAATTAACAAGTAACTGTTTAATCTCATCTGTTTATATATATAAAAGTTAAAGATAAAAAAATACCATTACTGTACATTTATTACTGTCTTATTTATTATCTTTCCCCTCAGTGGAAATCTCACATCTTCCACTAGAATTCAGCTCTGCCTTGTCACCAACTGGTTAACAAAACAGTAAAGCTTCTAATTCTAAAGATATACACATCAATTTCACTTGCTCCCCAGTGATGATTGCCATTTTGTTTGTTTCTAATTTTACTAATGAGAAAACAGTAAAGATAGATATGATTAATCTTCTACCCTAAATTGAATTAGTAACTCTGCCACTAACATGGTTAAAAACTATAAACTCAACGTGTTTTTCTCTGTACTCTCAACTCCATAAGCACAAAAACGTATGCCATTAGTCAAAAGGATGCCAAAGTAACAATAACAATTCCTTATAATTTTATAGTAATTTACAGTTTTCAAAGTTTAAACTTGCACTTTGACATTTGACCCTGACAACTTACTACTCTTGAGGTAGGCAAAGGAACATAAACCTGAAAAACATACATAGAATAAGCAACTTAACATACGTGTGCTATTTACTAATCCTGGTCTGTAACATTATTCATAAATGTGTTCTCTTTCATACAAACACACGTAAACATTAGAATATAAGGAACAGCAGAATGACCAATACTGACCTTCAAAGAGGATCCCAAAAAATCAGAACATAGTAGGAATCAGAAATAAAGGCACTACCTCAGAACAACAAAAGCAATGTGAGATTCAACATCACAAACAAAAGATAACTATCTATC